TTTTTTTTTTTCAGAACTGGGGATTAAACTCAGGTCTTTGCCCTTGCCAGGCAAGCGCTTATTCTACCAAGCTATCTCCCCAGCCCCAATTCTTTATATATTCTAGATAGAAGACCTTTTTCTGAGTGCTTAAGATTTTTTCCAAATTTGTGGGTTGTCTTTTCACTCTGTTGGTAATTTCTTTTGACACACAGAAACTTCTCAATAAGAGGAGGTCCCAGTTGTTTATTCTTTCAAGTATTTCCTGTGCAATTTGATTTTTGTTCATGAAATGTTTGCCTACCCTGTCAAGATATCCAGGGCTGGCCAAATAGCTCAGCTGATTAAAGCGCCTGCTTAGGCAGATGCAGGGATAGGGTTGAATCCCCTGGCCTGCTGTGCTGCCCTACCCCCAGGGTGCGCTGAGACAACAATTGAAACTGTGCATGGTTGTGCACCCTGTAATCCCAGCACTTGCGAGGCTGTAAACAGGAGGCTCACTAAGAGTATGATCTATGCAGTGAGACCCAGTATAAACTGTCCTAAATAAAAATAAAATAAAATAAAATAAAAAGATTTCCACCTACTTTCTGTTTGAGGAGATTTAATGTTTAGAGAGATTTCTGTTTTAATGTTTAGATCTTTAATCCATTTTGACTTTAGTATATGGTGATAGACTCAGGTCTAGTTTTAGTTTTTGGCACATAAAGAGCCAGTTTTTCTAGCACCATTTGTTAGAAAGTCTTTCTTCAGCCAACATGTTTGGCCCCTTTGTCAAAGACAAGATGGCTGAGTGTGTTTGTAGTTGTATCTGCATCTTCCAATCTATTCCCTTGATCTTCAGATCTTTTTTTTTTTTTTTTTGCCAGTATCATGCTGATTTTATCACAGTAGCTTTGTAGTATAATTTAGAGTCAGGGATTATAATGCCTCCTGCCTTTCCTTTGTTGCCCAGGATTGCCTTTCCCATTCTAGGTCTTTTCTGGTTCCAAATAAATACTAGGAATGACTTCTCTAGATCTGTGAGGTGTATTTGTGGTATTGCATTAAATGTGTATAACAATTTTGGCTGTATGGCCATTTTCACAATTTTGGTTCTTCCTATCCAGGAACAGGGGATATCTTCCCATTTTCTGAAATCCTCTTCTATCTCTTTTTTCAGAGTACTCTAATTTTCATTGAATAGATCTTTGACTTCTTTAGTTAGATGAATTCCAAGGTATTTTATTTTCCTCAGCACTATTATAAAGGGTATTGTTTCTCTCATTTCTCTCTCAGTGTGTTTGTTACCTGTGTAGAGGAATGCCATTGACTTTTGGGTACTGACTTTGTAACCTGCTATGCTACTGAATTTGTTTATTCTAGGAGCTTCTTGGTGGAGTTTTTTGGGTCTTCCAAGTAGAGTATCATGTCATGTGCAAATAATGATACTTTAACTTCTTGACCTATTCTTTTTTTTTTTTTGATGGAACTAGGGATTGAACTCAGGCCCTTGTGCTTGTCAAGCAAGTGCTTATTCTACTGAGCCATCTCCCTGGCCCCTCTTGACCTATTCTTATTCCTTTTATTTCCCTTGTGTGATAGTTCTAATGATTCCAGAACTATATTGAGTAGGAGGGGTGATAGAGGTCATCCTTGTCTTGTACCTGATCTGAGAGTAAAAAATTTCAGTTTTTCCCCATTTAGAATTATATTTGCAGTTGGATTGTCATAGATGGCTTTTATCAGATTGAGGTAGAGGCCATCTGTTCCAATTCTCTGTAGGACTTTGATCATGAATGTGTGTTGCACTTTTCAAAGGCCTTTCTGCGTCAATTGAGATGATCATGTGGTTTTTGGATTTCACTCTATTGATACAGTGCATTACATTTATAGATTTGCATATGTTAAGCCATCCTTGCATCCCTGGGATGAATCCTACCTGGTCATGGTGTATAATCTTCTTGATGATTTGCTGTATTCTCTTTGCTAGGATTTTATTGAAGATTTTTGCGTCTGTGTTCATAAGGGAGATCGGCATGTATTTCTCTTTTTTGGTTGCATCTTTCTCTGGTTTTGGTATCAGTATAATACTTGCCTCCAGGAATGATTTTGAAAGTATTGCTTCCTTTTCAATTTCATTGAGGAGTTTGAGGAGTATTGGGATTATATCTTCTATAAATGTCTTGTAGAATTCAGCTGTGAATCCATCAGGACCTGGGCTTTTCTTTGTTGGTAAGTTCGTCGGTAAGTATTACATTTTGAATTTCATTGGCTGATGCTGGGTTATTGAGAGTTCTTATATCTCCTTGGTGCAGTTTTGGTAATTTGTACCTTTGTAGGAATCTGTACATTTCTTCTGTGTCTTTGATTTTGTGAGAGTAAAATTTTCAAAATAGCTCTTGATGATCTTCTGAATTTCCACAGGGTCTGTGGTAATTTTGCCCTTTTCATTTATTGCTTGAATTTAAGTTTTTTCTTTCCTCTTTTTTTTTTTTTCTTTCCTCTTTTTGATGAGGTTAGCTGAGGGCTTATCAATTTTCTTTAATATTTCAAGTAACCAGATTTTGATTCTTTAATTCTTTGTATTGTTTTCTTCGTCTTGATTGTATTAATTTCTGCTCTAATCTTTATAATTTCCTCCCTTCTTTGGGCTTTGGGCTTGGTTTGCTCTTCTTTTTCTAGATGTTTGAGGTGCAGCATTAGGGTACTTATTTGTTCTCATTCTGTTTTCCTAATGTGTGAGTTCACAGCTATAAATTTCTCTCTAAGAACTGCTTTCATTCTATCCCTTAAATTCCGATAAGTTGTGCTTGAGTTTTCATTGAATTGTAGATATTGTTTAATTTCATCTGAGCAGGGTGCTGTTTAATTTCCATGTATTTATAGGGTTTTTGTGGTTTGTCATTTATTTCCAGTTTAATTGCACTGTGGTCAGATAATGTGCATGGGATAATTTCTGTTTTCTTGCATATACTTAAGCATGACCTATGGACTAGTTGTGTGGTTTATTTTAGAGAATATACCATGTGCAGCTGAAAGGAATGTATTCAGAAGTGATTGGGTGGAACACTCTGTATATGTCCACTAAACCCGTTTGTTCAAAGGTCCAGCTGTGAGTTTGACCTATCGAAGGGGTGTTAAGGTCTCCTGTTAATATTATGGTATTGGGTATTAAATTTTTCATGTCTATTAAGATTTGTCTTACATAGTTGTGTGCTCCTGTGTTTGGTGCATACATATTTATGACTGTTACCTTTTCCTCTTGTATTTTTCGTCTCATATTTTCCCACTGCTAACCAGTATGGAGTGACCTTTATTTTGTTTGATCATTCTGGGTTTGAAGTTCAGACTGTCTGTGAACAGGATTGCTACCCCAGCTTTTTTCTCAGGTCTTGGGGCATGTAGTATTGTTTTCCATCCTTTGACTTTCAGCCTATGAATTTCTTTATGAGATGTTTCTTGTATACAGCATATTGCTGGATTTTGCTTCCTAATCCACTCTGCCAGTCTATTTCTTTTAATTGGTGAATTGAGTCCATTTACGTTGATGATTATAATTGAGATGTATTGACTTAGGTTTGACATGTTATTTACCTGCTGTTGTGTACCTCTTTTTGTTCTGTGGTTAATTGTTTGCCCTATTTGGTGGGTTCTTTCCATTCTCATTTGTGGAGCTGTAGTCATTTTGATCCCTCTAGAATATCTTTTAGTAGTCTGTGTAGGGTTGGCTTTGTTGTCATGAAATTCTTTAGTAGTTCTGTGTCATAGAAGTATTTCATTTCTCCATTAAACTTGAAAGACAGTTTTGCTGGGTATGTCAGTCTGGGTTGGAATTTGTTTTCTTGCAAGACTTGTAGTACTTTGCTCCATGCTCTTTTTTTTTTTTTTTTTTTTTTTTGTATTTTAGGGTAGAGTATACACAGTGTTCACGGTCTCACTACTAGATCAGACTCCTGCTGATCCACCTGTTTACATCCTCCCAAGAGCTGGGATTACAGGCGCACTCCGTCACTATCACCATCTCAGCATGCCCCGGGGGCAGGATCAGCACCAGCATAGCAGGCCCAGGGATGGAACCCCACCATGCTCTTCTTCACTTAATGATTTGTGAAGAGAATGTGCCATTATTCTGATGGGTTTTCCTTTAAATGTGATGTTTCTTTTCTGTAGCGGCTTTTAGTATGCAACACGTTTATTATTACGATTTCATTATACCGAGATGGCTCAGACAAAAGGCTTGCCCATAAAGATGGTCAAAAGTGGAGAGTTGATTGGAGCAGAAAGATCAGTATGGTTTTTCACGCTTCTATTTTAACCTCTGCCCCTTTAGAACTGCACTAATAGTATCAGTAGTTCTACTGGTTGGGTAAATTAAGATTAAATAGAATTTAGTGATGTACTCACAGCAGCCACATTTTGAGTGCTTACTGAGTTGGACTGCTCAGCTTTAGAATGAAAACAGTACAGTGGTCCACCCAACCTTTTCTTGTCCTCTTTCCTTATTTTTTTTCTTCTCTCCTTTTTTGGGTTTGAGAGTGTGATGATGTGACCCAAACTTCTGAATCTTCTTTGATTTTAAATAATGGCTCAATCATCCATTAACTCAGAGATGCCCTCTTTTGTGTTTGTCAAGGATTTAATGTATAAATTTTGAATTTTATCTAATTTTATGTTCACTTAACAAACATTGAGCACTTGGGGAAGACAGATAATGCACAATAAAAACACTATCACATGCTCTGGGCATGGTGGCACATGCCTATAATCCCAGTACTTAGGGAAGCAAAGGCAGGAGGATCACAAGTTCAAGCCCAGCCTGAAAAATTTACCAGCTTAGCAAGACCCTGTTGAAAAATTAAAATTAAAAAATGGCTGAGATATGTGCATGGTGGCATATGCTAGCCTTGGGAGGCTGAGGCAAGAAAATTGCCACAAAGCTCAGGGCCAGCCTGAACAACACAGTAGACCTCTTCTCAGAAGAAAACAAATAAAAGGTGAGGGATGTAGCTCAATGTGAAGTCCTTTGATTTAATCACTAGTACAAAAAAAAGTCAAATATTCCATAATGTAAAGGAAAAAGGTAGGATGAAGGAACACAGGGAGGTAGAGTGGAAGAGTGCCACTTTACATAGGACATGAGGAGAGAGCTGTTTGGTAGGGTGACATCTGAGCAGAGGCAGAAGGAAATGAGGGAAGAGATTCTACAGAAAAGGGACATGTTCAGAATACATCCTGGAGAAGGCGTCAGAATTCTAAGGGCGTCTTCCCAAAATAACATAGCTTTCCTTACAGAGCTGCTGGTCCCCTTCCTAAAGGAGACATATAAGAATAATAGGTGGGTATATGTGTAAGATACCATTGCTGGGTGTTTTTAAGTTCATATGGTGATTGTGATATATACTTCTAATTTGAGAACCCTTCTTAAAGACCTATATCATTCACCTTTTTTCTAACTTTAAGACTTTTTCTGTATCTATTCTCTCATTGTAAGTCTCACTTCCCTTGGAATACAGGTGCTTTTGTGGCAGGGCTGGATGCTGGTCTTGTTTACAACTCCTTCCCCAAAATGGGAGAATCCTGGATCCCAGAGGACCTCTTCACCTTCTCCCCCATCCTGAAGAATGTTTTTGAGAATCCCACCATGGTGCAGTTTGATCACCGGGTTCTGG